AAGTTTTACATAGAAATATATAGGAAAATATCTCTAAAATCTTCTTCTTAAAAACAGTAAAGCCATGATTGGTCATATTTATGTGGAAGCATCCTCAGGTAGTGAAGATTCAAATTTGTTCAAATAATAACCCCCGGAGGTAGGGTGGGGCCACAATTGGGGATCCAAGTTTTACATAGAAATATATAGGAAAATATCGTTAAAAATCTTCTTCTTAAGAACAGTAAAGCCATGATTGGTCATATTTATATGGAAGCATCCTCAGATAGTGAAGATTCAAGTTTGTTCAAATCATTACCCCAGGGATAGGTTGGGGCCACAATGGGTGATCAAAGTTTACAGAGGAATATATAAGTCTTTTTCTCAAGAACAGAAAAGCCATGATTAGTCAAATTGATATGGAGGCATCTTTGGGTAGTGTAGAATGAAATTTGTTCAAATGAGGGCCCCGGGGGTAGGGTGGGGCCACAATGGGGGATCAAATTTTTACAAATGAATATATGGGAAAAAAATCTGCTGCTCAAGAACAACAAAGCCATTTGTTATATTGATATAAAAGCATCATCAAGTAGTTTAAAATTCAACACCCCCCTCCTTGTAAACTTTTAAATACTGTACTGATTTTTGCTTTTTTTTCCTAGCCAATGTGCTCAGGTGAGCGATGTGGCCCATGGGCCTCTTGTTTTACATTGAATTTAAGAGTAGCAAATTTTAAATGAACAACCAACTTAACAAATTTTAGTCGATAGTCAATATGATTGAATGATAGTCGAGTACTCGAATATTCATTGACACCCCTAATGAAACCATCAAACAGAGTTCAAAGATACTGTCACATTTTCCGTGTATTATTTGTAAAAAGTACTCTATTAAATAGATGTTTACATGCAGTCAATTTTGAGGATGTAATTACAAAATATAATATAAATAGGGATTAATTAGGAGTTTTTTTTTTCATGATTTCACAAAGGAAATGCACATAACTTATACATGTAAAAAATTTATTAGGGATGGCAATGGTCAACTGGGTAACCATCTAATCAGTCAGAAATATAGTAACCGGTTTAGTATGGGATGACGGGTTATGATTTTCATAACCGGTTAGTCGGTATTTTTTGTATAATATGTACTTTTTAAATAATATACCAGTATACATATTTTTTTTAAAAAATTACCACTTAGATCATGTAGATAGCATGTGTAAAACTAGTCTCATTCAAGCAGATGCTCGACTGTCTCAATAAACTCCTGCTCGTTGGAGTTTACGGAGACAGACAAGCATCTGCTTGAACGAGATTAGTTTAAAACTGAAAAGTTGCTATCGACTTATTAAATTATTCACAATATACAGCCACTGTGAAAACAAATCCCCATTATTTTGTCATTACAGTAAAACATGCTGCCTTGTAAGTGCCAGGGACAAATAATTTTAATTCATTATAAATGTATTCATTTTTCAGTTTAGTTTTCAGTATGTTTTAAAACCACAGGGAATGAAAATCACTTCACTATATGCTTCAATTCCTTATTTAAGTCTGTTCGCAGTAAGCGTGTTTTACTGTATAACCCATATACCACTCTAAGTTTACATACCCAAATCATAAATAATTCTTTATTCTAATTTCAAGAACTAATTTTTTACTAAACAATGTTTTACATGGTAATTAATCTAGTTCATTATCTGTAATGGTAGCCTAGTTGTAGGGCATTCATTTTGTAATCAGGAGGCCTGGGCTTGATTCTCATTTGCTGTGTCAAACCTAAGACATAAACATACAGGTAATGAAGGTTCCTTCACCAAGCGCCAAGCATTAGAATGAAAGTCAAAGGTTTTTCAGATGAGACCTTAAAAACCTCACAGTAGATGTTGGGACAATAAAGAACCCTCACTGCTCAATGGGCCTTAGTGCCAAGTATTAAGGTCTATGTTTGAAGCCCTTCACCAGTATTTGGTAATGTCTCTATACAAGAGAAAAATTCTCAAGTAAGATGTAAAACAACATACAATCAATCAAAGTGTCAGTAAGAAGCTGATCCTTACGTCGCAGGTTCAAATCCCACGGCTGGATGTGGAGATAGGGTCCTTGGATGAAACCTTATGAACCGAGGTTCTGTGTCATAGAAGGTGCTGGCACGAAAAAGATCCCTCACTTCCCAAAGGCCTTAAGTGTCAAGTACAGGTCTATATTTGCAGGCCTCCACCAGCAAGTGGTGGCATAATAATATGACTAAAAAAAATTTGAAGGGGCAATAAACAAAACACAAATCAATCCTGCAGTCTTATCACAGAAATAATTCAAATTTTTATGTATAAATATATTTCCAAATTTCTTTTGCAATTTAACTGAGTGACATTTTTGAGATTTTCCAATAATAATACACATCTACTAACTGGGTTTGAGGGCAACATGTGTTTTGTCGGACCCAAGAACCAAACTGTTGCCTGAGGCCATTAGGCCGAAGGGAAACAGTTTGGTTCAAGGGGTCAGCAAATTGCATTTTACCCCGAGAACACGGTCAATAAATGTTTTGTTATATCTTTTACTTTCTTTTTTTGTTTGACATACAAGTATTTTGTAGTGGCTTCCGTGATGTAAATTTCCTTTACCAGCACTGAGGTAAAACTCTGTCAATTCCGTAACTTTCGAACACCAACGAATGCAAATGAGATTTAACTAATCCCGCGCATACTGTAATATGTAAGCAGTCCAATTATCTCATCGACAGGTTCAATATCTCACTTGCGGTTCAACATAGATTTTTTTATGATTGCTCATAAAACCTTGGAAATGTTAGACATTTTGTCAATGAGTGTACACTAGTATAGATTTATATAAGAACAAATTTTTAAAGGTATAACAAATTATAATATTAATTAAGGCCCTAGTTATAACAGCTATTCATACTTGTTGAAGAATATATAACAATAATTATCATGTTTATACATGTAGTATGTTAGACAGTGTATTGTTGAATTTTTGCAGTTTTTTTGTTTCAATAAAAAAAAATAAGTCTTGGTGAAATTACATGCTCTCATGCATTTAAATATAAGGTAAAGCAATGGGGATTTGACAATGTCATGTCAGGGGTAACAGTCAGAGACTGAACCATAAAATAGATAACATACATCAGTGTTTGTGCGTACATTTATACATTTGCTGGCATATACATGTAAACATCAGTGCTGTAAGCAGCTGTTAAATTTTAGATAAGAAAAATTCTAACCTTCATTTCCATGGTCCACGCCAATCATATATTAAAATGTCACCGTGAACTCTTACACTCGCTACATTTATCACAGAAAACTCCGACACAAGACTGTTCATCGCTGTTAATGTGATCGTCAGAATTTCCTCGTAAACAATTTGCGCAAGAATATATATATCCCTTTAAAACTAATGCTCCCTGTACGCAACCAAGGATTTTATGTGCTTCGTAGATGTGGATTAAACGTGCATGTCTACATACGGCTCGTACGTTAAGAAAATGTACAACTGTCAACTTCACATATTTTCTTCTCATTTTCTGTCTGCAATTCCGACTTGCATGGCTACTTCCGGGGACGTACTAAAGACTCGATATACTAAAGACCTAATATTCGACCTGATGATTTTTCAAAAAATAAAATAATCAGATTGAGTGTTATACATGATTTATTTTAAAAAATTATTGATTATGAAGCATTATGCTATACTAAACTACACTTTTTTTTAAATATTTGCCAACAAAGCATCAGATCAAATCACGTTTTTCGTATATCGGGTCTTTAGTGTCTTCTTCCCACAATGTCGCTCGTGATTGTTTACATCCAGGTTACAAACAAGACTCTTTATATACGGATGCATTTGTAAATGTTGATTTACCTTTACTTCTGTAAATAACTTGCATTTATAAACGATTTAAATAACAGAAAACAGAGAAATCGAATGAAAACAATTTATTTAAAACACAACAACTATCTAAAACCGTACAAGCATGTGTTACGATGCCCTAAAAGGCGTGGCTGGTTTGTAGACAACTTGTTCCTGTACGATTCTCGAATAATTATTATATAAAATAGAATAAAATATAGCACGGAGCTTGTTTCTCTTTATACCACATGACAAGATTTAATATGTTAGAAATTATGTCATTCAAACTTTTTCATAATATTTTAATATTTTTAGCTATCCAAAAAATACTTTTATGACCTGCTGTCCCCTGAATATAGGGGCCAGCCCCTTTTTCTTGATGTTATCTGAAAGCTCTCGTAATTACACACAACTTTTATTCTATATGTCTTACCAAATTTTTATCAGTTTAAAAGTTATTAAACAAAAAGCAGTAAAATTTCATGGAAAAATAATTCTTAAAACTTGCCGTCACATAGCTTCTGAACTTAAAAAAATTAGCCTACAATTTTAATGTTCTGCGCATCTGCAATGTATTAGTTACAAGTTCTCCAGTTTTCATGCAAATATCATGTGTCGTTATTGAGAAATCTACTGGACAAGAGACCCTCCAAATATCGATTAAAGGGCAATAACTCATGAACGGGGGTATATATCAAAAATTTGAAAAAACCGTTTTTAGGCAATAATACATTGTATCTACCCTGAAAGTTTCATAGCAATCGGACAAAAGGTCTCCGAGAAATCGCCTGCTGAAAATCGGCGGGAAAAAAAAAATAAAATAATAATAAGAAACAGTAGAATAACAGTAGGGTCTTCCGAAGGAAGCTCGGAAGACCCTAATAATCTTAACCATCAGAATCAGTAGAAGGTCTTCCGCCTGGAGCGGAAGACCTTAAATATGCAGTATGTCATAGCTGGCGCTGTAGAATGGAAGACATGTCGGGGTCTGGTTTAAAATAACATAACAAATATTCTTACAAAATCTACTATTCATTATATTGTCTGTTGTATATGTTCTTTGTAAAATATTTTAAATGTTATTTTTACTAAGCAATGCATATGTGCTTTCATCAGCTGTAATTTATGACGTAGTATTGTATATTTCAGTGTCCGACAGTGTCCGGGTTACTCTGGTTTTGTGCCCAGGACCCCGACAGAAAGCAAACTGGCCAGGCAACCCGAGCCAACGTATATGGTCAGCACCATGAAAGCTAATTACAGGTAACGCCATTGGTCAATTTAATTAATTCTACGTAAAAGTATTGCTGGCATGCAGTGCCGCTAACGATTCATGTTTCCTAGGCTGGTGTATAGCTAGTTACTGGCAATACAAATGTGAAATTCGTTTGCAGATCATTAATTTGTGATTAAAAAAGTACAGTTCCTACTTTATACAAAGCTTGTTTAAAAAGACACTCTGTGAATCGTGGAAGGGGGGGGGGGGTTCGGTTGTTTATGGGTCCCCTTTTTTGCTTGTCCAAAAATTTCCGAGTCTGACATCTGTTAGAGATTATTAGACCCCTTTTGAAAAAAAATCCTTGACCCGCCTCTGTGACTAGAGGTCAGGATGTCTGGAAGGGGGTTGGAGGGCTGGTTGCATGGGGTCAGATATTTATTTTCGACATGGTCATGATCTAGACGCAAAGTCAAGCTCTAAGCGGGGTTCTAGCTTTGTTGAAAATGGGTGACACGACTTTGACCCCATGTGATTTGGAGGAGCTCTCGTCTATTGAGTGAATTATTTCAGCAATATAAAATATTGTACTTGAAGAAAAGGTTGCTTATGACATGAGGCGTGTCATGACTTTGACTTATGTTGAGAGAGATCACAATGACTTTGCTATAGTCCACTTCATCCAATTTTCAGGTTATAATCAGGGTTTGTGTAAGAAATGAGTTTATATATATATATCAAGTATTTTTTTTTATCAATTTCCATGGTTATGAGTTGAGTGATTGGAGTTTAATGAACTTGCACATCCAAACCATTTCTTATATATATAAAAACTTGTTTATCAAATGATGAAAATATTCACATGAAATGATAGAAATTAGGGTTTTTAGCTCACCAGTACCATGGGTCACACAAGCTTCTCTCATCATCATTTGTCTATTGTCTGGGTGCTATCTATTAAATTTTCAACTTCTCCGAACTACTTGGTTAATTTCAAGCAACTTAGCACAAAATGGGATACAATCTTGAAAACAAAAGACCATGCTCCTTTTAATTTTAAAGAAATAGTGAAAATGGTGTGAGGCCTTTTAGAATTCTGAAAAACCACAAAACTAGAAAAAAATAATAATCTACAGGAAAGTTAGATTGTTGCCTCCCCCTCCCAGAGGATAATAAAATCTTTATTCTCATAGTAAACAGCAGGGCTAAAATTAAAAATTTCAAATCAAAGATTGGGGAAATTTGAATTTGTTCAAAGCATGGTCTGCGAGGCTTGGCTGGGGCCACAATGGGGTTTAAGTTGCACACAAAATATATGAACTTCTGCAAGAACACAACTTCAATTTGTAAATTTGTCCCAAAGCTACAAGATCTACACCTTTGTTTATGAGTCAGGTGAACATTTTGTCTCAGGTGAGCATTTTGGCCCATGAGACTTTAAGTTTAGTAAAATATACCCTAGAAAAATGAAAAAGCAAATTTAAAAATAAAAAGCTGCTACCCACATTTCTTTCAGATGTATCAATGATTTATTATTTTTTAGGGAACTTCCTCTTGAAGAATACAGGAAGCAAGCATTTGCCAGGAAAGGACCTCTGTCTAAAACTGTCACACTAACCTACCCATTTAACCCCTACAACAAAGTGTGATCATCTATATATAGCTTAATTTGGTGTCTATTATTAATTTTGAATGCCAGTGTCTTCATTTTTGTACATAAAGTATTGAATGTAAAATAAATTCTACAAAAAACAGGTTTTCAATATAATTAGAATCTAGTTGTTGTCTTTCAAAAAAGATAAAGGCAGTTGAGACTATTATTTACTTAAATAGAATGAATTATTACATGTACATCCTACAAAATAAAAACGCACTTAAAATGGCACAAGCAAGCAAAAGCTTAACAAACAAAATGCACCAATTGTTGGGATCTATAACAAACAGAACAAACAATTAATTATGGACAAAAGCATATCTGATACATCTATCTCAAGTTAGCAGAGTTATCAAGTCTCTCAGAACAAAAAAAAAAAAAATGCTAAACAACGGTGAATACAAAATATCAATATAACAAACGGCTCAAAAAAATCTTACATATCAAGATGTAGTAATAAAACCAACCTTCTTTGAAATTCATTATCATGTATAGATTTTTACTAAAGGATTTATAATATTATGCATTTTGTATCCATGATTTTTAAGAAAAACTAACTCCTGTTCACACTTTTTTTCCCTAAAACATACATTTTGCTTCCTATACTTAGTATAGACAACAGTTATTCACAAATTAATGTCTTTATTAGGCAGGATATTAACTCCTTCCTAAATATGCAAAAAAAGTACAAGCTTATAGCAGGAAAGATCAGATTGTCTCTCTTAGATCACCTAGTTCTATTGCTGAAGGGTCTTATAACTCCTCCTCTATGCGCTTCTCCTGGGCGTTGAGTTCATCCCAGATGGGCTGAGGGACATCAATACCGACCTGATCCTCCAAGAATCTCTTGCTCTCCCTGGTGTCGTCCAGCCAGTAGTGCTTGGGGAGGCTGAAAAGTTCGTCCCAGTCAAGTTTCTCAATTCCATCCAGGTTAATGCTCCCTGATAGAGAGAAAACATCATATTCAGGTTAATGCTCTCTGATAGAGATCAAGTAACATCATGCCCAAGATAATTCTCCCTGATAGAGAGAAAATAACATCATACCAAGGATAATTCTCCCTGATAGAGAGAAAATAACATCATACCAAGGATAATTCTCCCTGATAGAAAGAAAATAACATCATACCCAGGATAATTCTCCCTGATAGAGAGAAAATAAGGTCATACCCAGATATTTTACAATTTATATAGTCAAGTAAATATTTCAATGACAATATATTTTTTTTAAATACATGTATTTTAAGACATTCAAACCAATTGAACCAATTTCTGAAATTTTAACAAGAGACCCAAGGATCTTAATGGTCAACTAAGTATAATACAACCCTATAAAGGATCAATTGGAAAGCAATTTTATAATTACATATTAGAATTAATTGACACATAAAGACATGTTGCTCAAATCAACAGAAAAAGGATGACCAGGGATCCATAAAAAGCTTTGGTAATAAGCAACAACTTGGAGAGTAGATCTATTTAGTACTTGCCTGTATGTGTCACAGCTAACTACACCCTATCACTAAAACTTAACAACACAATAGTGCTTTACCTTAAAACACTGTATTCACGTAATACAGAATGTTCCCCATACCACTGGCCTCTCTTGGTCTTTGAATAACATTTATTGAACAAAGATAAGGTGTTTTTGTCTCATTTTTATTCACCTATTATTTCAAAGTCTACCTGACCATAAAAACATCTTGTATTATACAATAAAAATTCTTGTATAAATCTTTAATCAATTTACTTATCAATCAGTAACAGTGATTATGTTATCATTTATAGGTGAATGACCAAGGGGAATAACTTCTCTTAAAACAGAGTAAAAATTTCCTTCCATTATCAAAATAGAGCCCAACCCTAACTCCAAAACCCCTGACCCAGCACGCTTCCTCATCACAACCACGCACTTAGTTTGCCTGCTAAATACCCAGGAGCAGAGAAAAAGAATTTCACAGATTTAATGCTTTTTCACTATATGATCAACAGAGTTTAGCCCTACCACCAGAACCCGACCCAGAGGCCATGAATTTCACAATTTTTGGAAGAAGCACTCTTCCTCATCATTATGATGCACTTGGTTTGTCTCAAAAAAATTCGCAGGGCAGAGAAGGAGATTGTCAAAGAAATAATGCATTTCACTGCACTATAGATTTATAAGAGCCCCACCATACCACCAAAACCCCTGACCCAGGGACTAAAAATTTCACAATTTTGGAAGGTCTCTTGCTCCTTGTATCTATGCGCTTAGCCATCAATTTCAAAATTTTGGTAGAGGGCTAAATGCTTATTATAATAATGCCAACAGTTTGACTGCTTGATTTTAAGAAGTAAAGAAGATTTGTAAAGGAGATTTAAAAGAGTAAAGGAAATTTTTAAAGATTGTATTAATTTGATTGGTTTTGGCCCCCATCCCTCAGGCCCCAGGGGGCAGAGAGAATGAAATTGAAAATTTTTGTTCCCCTTTGCCCAAAGTTGCTATATACCAAAATTGGTTAAAATTGGTTTAGCAGTTCCAGAGAAGCTGAAAAGTTCTAAATATTGATGCATGATAACTGACAAAAACAGAAAGCAATAGGTCACCTGAGTGACTAAGGTGACCTAAAACTGGACAAGATTAACACTGGCCTCAAGGTGAAAAAATCTCAGAAATTGGATGTAATTAATTGCAGTACAAGACTGACCTTTTTTGGGGAGGTAACCAATTGGAGACTTAACGGCAATAGATTCATCTCCCTCACACCTTCTTAAGATCCAATCGAGAACACGAATATTGTCCCCAAAACCAGGCCACAGGAATTTACCATGTTCATCTACACGGAACCAGTTCACATGGTAAAGCTTTGGCATCTAGAACAAAATATAAAACTGTATCTTTGTAACAAAGCAAAATCTGATACATTTCTAATTGAATGGATGGTTATTCCTGGTACAGCTCCCTTTTATAAAATGGGTTTTTTGTCCCATAAGAAAAGTAAGCTGAACTTGCACCTAAACACAAATTTAAACTGATGCCAACATTAGTAGAAATTTTTATATACTCCTATGTAAAAGTCTGATCTTCTGTTGTGGTCCCACCCTACCCGCTGGGGTCATGATTTGAACAAACTTGAATCTACACTACCTGAGGATGCTTCTACATTAATATGACTATTCATGGCTTTGCTGCTCTTGAAGAGGAGATTTTCTCTATATATCTCTATGTAAAACTTTGATCACCCACTGTGCCCCCCCCCCCCCTTCCCCTTGCACCAGGGGTCATGATTTGAACAAACTTGAGTCAACACTACCTGAGGATGCTTCCATATAGATATAAAAAAATCATAACTTGGCTATTCTTAAGATTTTTCCTATGTAAAACCTTGAAAGCCCATTGTGGCCCCACCCTACCCCTGGTGGTCATGATTTGAACAAATTTGAAATGACACTTTGTAATTAAGCTTTCATTTAAGTTTTTAAGTTTCATCTTTTTCTGACCCAGTGGTTCTTAATAAAAAGATTTTTAAAAGATGCCATTAAATTTTCACTAATTCTTAATTATATCTCCCCTTGAAAGAGGGCAGGGCCTTTATTTTATGATTTAAACAAAATTGAATCCCCTACACCAAAGGATGCTTTGTGGCAAGTTTGGTTGAAATTGGCTCAGTAGTTCTTGAGATCAGGGTTCTCATTAATTTTTAGAGAAGGTGGAGAAAAAAAAAGTAGGGGGCACTGTTGACTTGAGGGCCGAAGGCGTGAACCGAGGGCCATCGGCCCGAGTGGGGTGAGTCCTAGAGGGGGTTTCCCCCCTTTCAGCAATAGTAATTTACATTACAGGAGCTGGCATCTGGGACTTCTCTGGGTATATTTTGACTTGTTTTATTTGTTCTAAATATGACATTTTTTAGGCAATTTTTCCCAAAAAAAAAAAAAAAAATCACAGGAGTAGCACACAGCCTATCCATCTAACTTCCTTGATTTTTGTAATTTTGTTGTAAATAAAGATTTTTCAAACAAATTTTTTTTGCATTTTTTCTAATTTGTATTTGAATTTTTTTTTATTTTCTCTATATTACAGCGATGTAGTCATTGAAGAAATTGTTTGAAATCTGATACATGTAAATTTATTGACATGTTATAATTTTATGCATACTGTTTGGTTTTGGGCTAGCTGCAATAATGTAACCCTCTCCGATTTTTTTAATCTAAAAAAAAGGGAGAGGGCATTATTGCAGCTAGTTTTATGTGGAAAAAGGAGTCCATATGCCTATATTTTTCTCGGCTATTGCCTATGCTACAGCTTCAAAACCGGAAATGAAAAATGCTTAGTAAAACTTACACCAGACCGATCGCGATTCCGGAATCATCAACACATTTTAAACAAGAGGCCCAGGGGCCACATCGCTCACCTGAGCAATATGGCTAGGAAAAAGCAATCAGTTCAGTCTTGAAAGGTTGAAAAGTTTAAATACAAGAGGCCCAGGGGCCACATCGCTCACCTGAGCACTGTGGCTAGGAAAAAAGGAAAAATCAGTTTAGTATTGAAAAACTTAAATGCATAAGTGGTCCTTACCTACCCCTAAAAGTGAAAGGGGGGGGGGGTCATGATATGAACAAACTTGAATATACACTTACTAATGAGGCTTTCATAATTTTTTGAACTGTGACTTTTTTCTATACAAGTTTGAACTTTCATTGTGGCCCCACCCTACCCCTGGAGATCATAATTTGAACAAGCTTGAATCTACACTATCTGAGGATGCTTCCACATAAATATTACCAACCGTGGCTTTGCTGTTCTTGAGAAGATTTTTAAAGATTTTTCCTATATATTCCTATGTAAAACTTTGATCGTTCAATGTGGCCCCACCCTATCCCCGGGGGTCATGATTTGAACAAACTTGAATCTACACCACCTGAGGATGCTTCCACATAAATATGACCAATCATAGCTTTGCTGTTCTTGAGAAGAAGATTTTTGAAGATTTTTCCTATGTACACCTATGTAAAACTTTGATCATTCATTGTGGCCCCACACTACCCCCGGGGGTCATGATTTGAACAACTTGAATCTACACCACCAGAGGATGCTTCCACATAAATATGACCAACCATAGCTTTGCTGTTCTTGAGAAGAAGATTTTTCCTATGTACACCTATGTTAAACTTTCATTGTCCATTGTGGCCCCACCCTACCCCCGGGGTCATGATCTGAACAAAGTTGAACCCACACCACCTGAGGATGCTTCCAAATAAATATTACCTATCATTGCTCTGCTGTTCTTGAGAAGAAGATTTTTGAAGATTTTTCCTATATACACCTATGTAAAACTTTGATCATCCATTGTGGCCCCACCCTACCCCCGGGGGTCATGATTTGAACAAACTTGAATCTACACTACCTGAGGATGCTTCCACATAAATATGACCAATCATAGCTTTGCTGTTCTTGAGAAGAAGATTTTTGAAGATTTTTCCTATATATTCCTATGTAAAACTTTGATCATCCATTGTGGCCCCACCCTACCCCCGGGGGTCATGATTTGAACAAACTTGAATCTACACTACCTGATGATGCTTCCACATAAATATTACCAATCATTGCTTTGCTGTTCTTGAGAAGAAGATTTTTGAAGATTTTTCCTATATATTCCTATGTATAACTTTGATCATCCATTGTGGCCCCACCCTACCCCCGGGGGTCATGATTTGAACAAACTTGAGTCTACACCACCAGAGGATGCTTCCACATAAATATGACCAATCATGGCTTTGCTGTTGTTGAAAAGAAGATTTTT